ATAGGTCAGTCCAGGGAGGACGGACAGCTCAAGGGGGCGGGATGAGGTTAGTAGATAGGAGATGGTGGTGGGGCTTGAGGTGGGAGGAGGGGATAGGTGGGAGGAAGGACAGGTTAGGGAGGCGGGGACGAGCTGGGCTGGTTTTGGGATGCGGTCGGGGGAGGGGAGATTTTGAAGCTTGTGAAGTCCACATTGATACCATTGGGCTGCAGGGTTCCCAAGTGGAATATGAGTTGCTGTTCCTGCAACCTTCGGGTAGCATCGTTGTGTCACTGCAGGAGGCCCAGGATGGACATGTCGTCTGACGAATGGGAGGGGGAGTTGAAATGGTTCGCGACTGGGAGGTGCAGTTGTTTGTTGCGAACCGAGCGTAGGTGTTCTGCAAAGCGGTCCCCAAGCCTCCGCTTGGCTTCCCCGATGTAGAGGAGGCCACAACGGGAACAGCGGATGCAGTATACCACATTAGCAGATGTGCAGGTGAACATCTGCTTGTTGTGGAAAGTCTTCTTGGGGCCTGGGATGGGGGTGAGCGGGGAGGTGTGGGGGCAGGTGTAGCACTTCCTGCGGTTGCAGGGAAAAGTGCCGGGTGTGGTGGGGCTGGAGAGGAGTGTGGAGCGGACAAGGGAGTCATGGAGAGAGTGGTCCCTCCGGAAAGCAGATAAGGGTGGGGAGGAAAAGTGTCTTTGGTGGTGGGGTCAGATTGTAGGAAGTGGTCATGGGTTTGGTAGATTTTGTCTAAGGACTTTCTGCAGTGCATCTTGTAGGTAGTACCCACTGCTGCTATTGAGCATCAGTGGTGGAGGGAGTGGATGTTTGTGGATGTAGCACCAATCAAGCTGGTTACCTTGTCCTGGATGGGGTCAAGCTTCTTGGGTGCTGTTGGAGCTGCACTCATCCAGGCAAGTGGGGAGTATTCCATCACACTCCTGACTTGTGCCTTGTAGATGGTGGACAGGCTTTGAGGAGTCAGGAGGTGAGTTAATTGCTGCAGTATTCCTAGCCTCTGACCTGCTCTTGTAGCCACTGTGTTTATGTGGTGAGTCCAGTTGAGTTTCTGGTCAATGGTAACTCCCAGGATGTTACTAATGGGGAAATTAGTGATGGTAATAGTGTTGAATGTCAAAGGACAATGGTTCAATTTTCTGTTACTGGAGATGGTCATAGCATGGCATTTGTGTGGTGCAAATATTACCTGCCACTTGCCAGCCCAAGCCTGGATGTTGTCCAGATCTTGTTGCATTTGAACATGGACTGCTTCAGTATCTGAGGAGTCATGAATGGTGCTGAATGTTGTGCAATCTCAGCGAACATGCCCACCTCTGACCTTTTGGTGAAGGAAGGGTCATGGATAAAGCAGTTGAAGATAGTTAAGCCGAGGATACTATCCTGAGGAAGTCCTGCAGTGATGTCCTGGAATGAGATGACTGACCTCCAACAACCACAGCCATCTTCCGATGTGCCAGGTATGGCTCCAACCAGTGGAGAGTTTGCTGCCTAAAAGCCATTGATTCCCGTTTTGCTGGGACTGCTTAATGCCACACTCAGACCAATGCCGTCTTGATGTCCAGGGCTGCCATTCTCACCTCACCTCTGGAATTTAGCTCTTTTGTCCATGTTTGAAGCAAGACTGTAATGAGGTCAGGAGCTGAGTGGCCCTGGCGGAACCCAAACTGGGCGTCACTGAGCAAGTTATTGCTGAACAGGTGCTGCTTGATACCACTGTTGATGGCACTTTCCATCACTTTACTGATGATCGAGAATAGACTGATGGGGTGGTAATTGGTCAAGTTGGTCCTGCTTTTTGAGTACACGACTTATCTGGGCAATTTTCCACATTGTCAGGTAGATGACAGTTTCGTGAGTGCACTGGAAGAGCTTAGCTAGCGGAGCAGCAAATTCTGGAGCACAAGTCTTCAGTAGTATTGCTGAAATGTTGTCAGAGCCCACAGCCTTTTCAGTATTTAGTGCTTCAAACCATTTATTGATATCACGTGTAGTGAATCAAATTGGCTAAAGACTGGTCTCTGTAATGCTGGAGATGGCTGGAGGAGGCCAATATCATCGGGATTATACAAGGTCAGCATTGATTCATGTAAAGGAAATTGTGTTTGAAAAATGTCCTGGCATTTTTTTGAGGACATAGCTAGTAGAATAGATGAAGGAGAAACAATATTTGCAGCGCATTTGGATTTTCAGAAATCTTTTGCATCGTCCCACATAAGATGTTGGTGCAAAATCAAAGAGAGTGATAGTAACAGTGTAACAGACTGGAATGGATTGAGATTGGTTAGCAGACAAATAGAGTAGGAATAAATGGGTCGTTTTTGACAGTGTTTAACGGGGTACCACAGGGTTGAGCCCCAGCTATTCACAATCTATATCAATGAGGGAATCAACCATAATATTTCCAAGTTTGATGACACAAATATAGTGGAATTGAGTGGTCAGGAGGGTACAAAGGTAAATGGAGGAAGGATGTTCCTGATGATCAGGGAGTCCAGAACCAGGGGTCACAGTCTAAGGATATGAGGTAGACATTTGGCCTGAAATCTGGAGAAATTTCTTCACCTGGAGAGTGGTGAGCCTGTGGAATTCACTGTCATCGACAGTAGTTAAGCTCAAATATTGAATGCTTTGAAGAAGTTAGATATGGCACTTAAGACTAAAAGGATCAAAGGGAACAGGGAGAAAGCAATAACCGGATTGGATTATCAGTCATGATTATATTGAGAGGCATAGCATGCTCTGGATGGACTGAATGGCCTACTCCTGCTCCTACTTCCTATGTTTCTAAGCCGGCTTCAAGGTGGTTCAGACATATTGAGTGAGTAGGCAAATGCAAGGCAGATGCAGTTTAAAGTGGATAAGTGTGAAGTTGTCCACTTCAAAGCAATGGCCTAGTAGCACTATTGCTGGACTAATAATCCTTAAACCTAGGCAATATTCTGTGAACCTGGGTTCGAATCCAACCACGGCAGATGGTGGAATTTGAATTCAATAAAAATTGGAAGTAAGAGTCTCATGATGACTATAAAACCATTGTTGATTGTCGGAAAGACCCAACTGATTCACTAATGTCCTTTAGTCAAGGAAACTGCCATCCTTACCTGGTTTGGTCTACATTGAGTCCAGCAATGTGGTCAAGTCTTAGTTGCCCTCTGGACAATTAGGGATGGTGGCCTAGCCAACAAAGCCCATGTTCAATGAGTCAATAAACAAATAATTTTGTAGTATAAACAGAATAGAACATAGAACATAGAACAGTACAGCACAGTACAGGCCCTTCGGCCCATGATGTTGTGCCAATCTATTATCCTACTCTAACATCAAGATAACCTGCATACCCTACATTTTACTATCCTCCATGTGCCTGTCCAAGCATCGCTTAAATGTCCCTAATGTATCTGACTCCAATACCACTGCCGGCAGCGCATTCCATGCACCCACCACTCTCTGTGTAAAGAACCTACCTCTGACATCTCCCCTATACCTACCTCCAATCACCTTAAAATTATGCCCCCTCATAATAGTCATTTCCGCCCTGGGAAAAGGTCTCTGGCTATCCGCTCTATCTATGCCTTTCATCATCTTGTACACCTCTATTAAGTCACCTCTCATCCTTCTTCGCTCCAGTTAAAAAAAGGCCTAGCTCCCTCAACCTTTCCTCATAAGACCTGCCCTCCAGTCCAGGCAGCATCCTGGTAAATCTCCTCTGCACCCTCTCTAAAGCTTCCACATCCTTCCTATAATGAGGTGACCAAAACTGAACACAATATTCCAAGTGCGGTCTAACCAGGGTTTATAGAGCTGCAGCATAACCTCACGGCTCTTAAACTCAATTCCCCTGTCAATGAAAGCCAACACACCATACGCCTTCTTAACAACCCTCTCAACTTGGGTCGCAACTTTGAGGGATCTATGGACGTGGACCCCAAGATCCCTCTGTTCCTCTACACTGGCGAGAATCCTGCCATTAACCATGTATTCTGCATTCAAATTCGACCTTCCAAAATGAATCACTTCACACTTTTTAGTGTGAATAGCAGGGTATTAATAAAATGCTGACAGATTGCAAAATGTTGATGTATAAAGGGACCTGGGTGTACATATACACTGGTCACTGAAACCAAACATGAAGGTGTAACAAGCAGTGAGAAAGGTAAATGATGTGTTGGCCTTCACTCTAAGAGGGTTTGAGTACAGGATCTGCCTTACACTACAAAAACAGCCTATTTATTTTTACACACACATCAGTTCTAAAGAAGGGTCACCAGACCTGAAACGTTAACTCTGTTTTCTCCTCCACAGATGCTGCTAGACCTGCTGAGCTTTTCCAGCAACTTTGTTTTTGTTCCTGATTTACAGCATCCGCAGTTCTTTTGGTTTCTATTTATCTTTACTCTGTTTCATGTCTACTAACCAATTCTGAATCCATGCAAGTATATTACTATCATTACTACAACCTGTCTTCTTGCCTAAGAAAACATGGACTTGCCATAGAGGAAGTTCAGTGAAAGTTCACCAGACTGCTTCTTGGGATGCAAAACGTCAGGTTTCCTGCACCTCTGATGCTGCCTGGCCTGCTGTGTTCCTCCAGATCCACACCTTGTTATCCCAGACTCCGGCATCGGCAGTTCTTACTATCTCCTGGAGATAGGGTGGGATGCTCATCAGAGGGTCAGTGTGGCCTGAATGGGTTGAATGGCCTGCTCCAGTACTGTAGGGATTCTATGATGGTATTGAATGATGGACCAGGTCAATGGGCTGAATGGCCTACTTCTGTTCCTATTTGCTATGGTTCATTGTTTTAAGTCCCATATATCTAAGTCCCCTTCGCCCGTTGACGATGCTGGTAAAACGAGAACTGTAGCTGAAACGAAGCAGAGCCGAGATCTGGAAGGGCTGCGTTGCTATTTCTGGAGAGTGATCTCAAAGCTTGTTCGAGGCGTTCCTCTGCAGAGGGTGCTATGCGGGGGGATTTTGGGTGAAGGGAGAAAGAGAGAGAGAGCTTACTGTTCCGATTTGCAGCTGTCACTGAAAAGTTGAGTTGCCGGCTAAACTCAAATTCAAAATTCAAAATTCAAATCACGGGTTTGAACCGAGGCTGGTGAAGCAGGGAGGCAATCGTGAGTTCAAGCCAGGAACATTGTAAGTGGCTTGGACACATTTGTTACATGTTGCGAACTCTGGTGTGTTACGTACTGTCATATTGATACAGGGCTGTCTCTTTCTTTTTTCGCGTTGGATTGACGTCTGCGCTTTGCTGACTGTGACTGTCCCTGAAGGTTAATCACTTTCATGGCCGACCTGGTGTCATTCCCACTGAAACTGAAACTCAAGCGGCAGTCCACAAACTCGGTTACGCTGGAAACCCGAGGAGCCAGCAACGCAAAGTTAAAATTATGCAGGGCTTCATTGATAGAGGAGATAGCGGAAGGGAGTCTAAACCTGGGAGGGGGCACAAGTATGTGAGAGTCTGGTAAGGAATTCAGGATAAATTCTTCACTGAAAATAAGGTTTAGGATACTCACTCCCACATGAGAGCTACAGTTTAAGTGCACCAAAGGGAGCAGATTTAAAGGAAAACAGACGAAACAGAAGGACATGCTGACAGTATGTGAACAGGCGCTTATGAAACAGTATTACCACTGTAGACCTCTTTATTGGGGGGGGGGGGGGGGAGGTGTTGCTGTAATCTCACTGGGCTGGTGATCAAGGGCCCCAGACTATGGGTGGCAGAATATTAGTTTGAATCCTGGCATAGGAAATGGTCAGAGGCTATTGAGATGCAGTGGTAATGTCCCTATCTTTGAGCTGGGAGATCTGAGTTCAAGGCCCACGGGTTCCAGATCCACCTGGGGAACACGTTTGATTCAAACCATCCACAACCTCATCACTTCAGGTGACCTCCCACCCACAGCCTCGAACTTCATCGTTCCCCAACCCCACACCGCCCGTTTCTATCTCCTCCCCAAAATCCACAAACCTGACTGCCCTGGTCGACCCATTGTCTCCGCCTGCTCCTGCCCCACTGAACTTATCTCGACTCCATTTTCTCCCCCTTGGTCCAGGAACTCCCCACCTACGTCCATGACAACACCCACGCCCTCCACCTCCTCCAAAACTTCTGATTCCCTGGTCCCCAACACCTCATCTTTACCATGGACGCCCAGTCCCTATACACCTGCAATCCCCATGCAGATGGCCTAAAGGCCCTCTACTTCTTCCTGTCCCGCAGGCCCGACCAGTCCCCCTCCACTGACACCCTCATCCGCTTAGCTGAACTCGTCCTCACCCTTAACAACTTCTCTTTCAATTCCTCCCACTTCCTACAGACAAAGGGGGTGGCCATGGGTACCCGCATGGGCCCCAGCTATGCCTGCCTCTTTGTAGGTTACGTGGAACAATCCCTCTTCCGTACCTACACCGGCCCTAAACCCCACCTCTTCCTCCGTTACATTGATGATTGCATCGGCGCCGCCTCGTGCTCCCACGAGGAGGTCGAACAGTTCATCCACTTCACCAACACCTTCCACCCCAACCTTAAGTTCATCTGGACCATCTCTGATACCTCTCTCTCCTTCCTGGACCCCTCTGTTTCCATCTCTGGCAACCATCTGGAAACCGATATCCATTTCAAGCCTACTGACTCCCACAGCTACCTAGAATACACCTCCTCCCACCCACCTTCCTGCAAAAATGCCACCCCCCTATTCCCAATTCCTTCACCTCCTCCGCATCTGCTCCCGGGATGAGGCATTCCACTCCCGAACATCCCAGATGTCCTCGTTTTTCAAGGACCGCAACTTCCATCCCTCAGTGGTCGAGAACGCCCTCGATCGTGTCTCCTGCATTTCCCGCAACTCATCCCTCACACCCCCCTCCCCGCAATAACAACCAAAACAGAATCCCCCTCGTCCTCACGTACCACCCCACCAACCTCTGGATCCAATGCATCATCCTCCGGCACTTCTGCTATCTGCAATCCGACCCCACCACCGAAGACATTTTTCCCTCCCCACCCTTATCTGCCTTCCAGAGGGACCACTCTCTCCGTGACTCCCTTATCCGTTCCAAACTCCACACCTATGCTCGGTTCGCAACAAACACCTCCCAGTTGCGAACGATTTCAACTCCCCCTCCCACTCTTTAGACGACACGTCCATCCTGGGCCTCCTCCAGTGCCACAACGATGCCACCCGAAGGTTGCAGGAACATCAACTCATATTTCGCTTGGGATCCCTGCAGCCCAATGGTATCAATGTGGACTTCACAAGCTTCAAAACTTCCCCTCCCCCTACCTCATCCCAAAACCAGCCCAGCTTGTCCCCACCTCCCTAACCTGTCCTTCCTCCCACCTATCCCCTCCTCCCACCTCAAACCCCAACCCCATCTCCTATCTTCTAGCCTCATCCCGCTTCCTTGACCTGTCCGTCCTCCCTGGACTGACCTATCCCCTCCCTAACTCCCCACCTACACTCACCTTTACTGACTCCATCCCCGCCTCTTTGACCTGTCTGTTTCCTCTCCACCTATCCTCTCCTCTATCCATCTTCTATCCGCCTCCCACTCTCTCCCTATTTTATTTCAGAATCGCCTTCCCCTCCCCCATTTCTGAAGAACGGTCTAGGCCCGAAACGTCAGCCTTCCTGCTCCTGTGGTGCTGCTTGGCCTGCTGCGTTCATCCAGCTCTACACCTTGTTGTCTCAGATTCTCCAGTATCTGCAATTCCTACTATCTCTGAAACACGTTAGATTCATATGCTTTGTTTATTTTTAAACGTTGAAGAGAATGTTGGAACCACAAAGCAGGCTGATTGTTGAATCCGCATGGGCACCTGGCAACTACTCGGGCTCTTCCTGGGTCACTCTACAACCCCCCACCCCCACCTGGACAGGAGACAGCAGCCAGCCAGTCCTCCAATGTCAAGTTAGCAGAACCCAACTGGGGGAATTAAGTTCAGGGTCTTAGTGTCCCCTCACACACAGCTTGATGTGTGATCACCTTACTGTGTGTGGAATGTAAGGGTATATTCTGCATTGCTGGGGTGTTATTTAGCCCAGTTGGTTAGGTGGATAGAGATGAAAGCTAACAGCGCCTAATCACTCCCTGTGCAAGCTGTGGACCTTCATGAAGACCTGCCTCCTCGGTTTACCCTGTGATTGTGGAGGGTTCCCGATTGTGTGTCTCTCTCTTTTCTCTCTGTCTCCTGTGGAGAAAGACATCTGTGGTCCTTTGTGGGAGTGAGTGCACAAGCAGGCAGAAACCAGGTGGCACAGTGGTTCAGTGGTGCCTCACAGCATCAGGGACCCAGGTTCAATCCCACCATCAGGCGACCATCTGTGTGCAGTTTGCACGTTCTCCCTGTGTCTGCGTGGGTTTCTTCCAGGTGCTCTGGTTTCCTTCCGCAGTCCAAAGATGTTCAGGTTAGGTGGATTGGCCATGCTAAATTCCTCATGGTGTCCACGGATGTGCAGGTTAGATGAATTAGCCATGGGAAATGCAGGGTAGTGGGCTGGAACTGGTGGGATGCTTTTTGGAGGGTTGGTGCAGACTTAATGGGCCAAACAGCTTCTTTCTGAACTGTAGGGGTTGAATGATCCTATGGAAACAATAGAAATGTACCGATGTCCCAGAGCCTGCCATTATCTCCTTGGGCAGTGGTGTCAGGTTATTGTTGGTCCAGTGCACCAACCTTAACAGGGCTTTGAACTCATACACTTTCAGGAAGGAAGTTCCATGTGCCATTCTCCATTTCCCACCTCCTTTCTGTTCACATCTATCCTCAATCCAGTATATCTCCTGCAACACAAATGTTCATCCCACTCCTTTTCTAAAGACAGATGCAGGCGTTCCAAGTGACACATAGTGGTAGCAGGAAACAGCTCTCAGCCTGCACTCACACCTTTCCCACATTGTTCTCAATTCTGTCCTTTTAACCTCCTTGCCACGCAGGTAGAACGAAATGAAATACACGAGTACACGGGGTGGATTGACTGGCGTGAATTTTGAGCAGGTCCTTTTCTCTGGCTATGCCCCAGATGGGGGCCTTTTTATGCCCGAAGAAATCCCAAGCCTCGACACGGCCATACTGCAGACATGGAGCACTTACAGTTATCCCCGGCTGGTTGAGGAGATTTGTTCATTGTTCATTTCCAGAGATGATTTGCCAAGAGAAGATTTAAAGGGTAAGCTTTTCTTTTCTTGCCTTCTTCTCCTTAGGTCACCAACTCATGATGGGTACAGAATTATCACTGATAATCTGAGGAAGGGTCACTGGACCCGAAACGTTAACTCTTTTTTTCCTTCACAGATGATGTCAGACCTGCTGAGCTTTTCCAGCAACTTCTGTTTTTGTTCCTGACTTGCAGCATCGGCAGTTCTTTTGGTTTTTATACAGAATTATTACTGCTGTGCAGTCTAAAACCTGTGTGCCCATTCTTCCAATGTCAGCGATTGAGTGGCTGATAGAACCGTAGAACAGGACAATATGATAGGATATCATTCTGCCCATTGTGCCTTTACTGGCTCTTGTAAAGAGCCACCCTCCAAATCGTTCCTGATGTTATTGCAATTTTCACTCCTTTTAAGTAATTATTCAATCCTCCTCTGAAGATGACTGTTAAATCTGCATCAGCAACCCTTTCAATGACTGCATTCTCAATCTTAACTGTGTTTTGAGTGAGAAAAATGTATCTTCCTCAAATCTCCTCTGGTCGTTTATTCAAACAGCGTTAAATCTGTGACCTTTGATTATTGACCTCTACACAATTGGAAACTTCTTCTCATAGAACATAGAACATAGAACAAAAAACAGTACGGACCCTTCGGCCCACAATGTTGTGCCGAACTTTTACCCTAAACCTAAGGTCTATCTAATCTCCGCCCCTACCCTGTACTATCATCCATGCCTATCTATTTGCCGCTTAAATGCCCCTAAAGAGGCTGACCCAACTATCCCCTCCGGCAATGCATTCCACGCCCCTACCACTCTCTGAGTAAAGAACCTACCTTGGATGTCTCCCTATATCTACCTCCACTCACTTTAAAACTATGCCCCCTCATAATAGCTAACTCCACCCGAGGAAAAAGTCTCTGGCTGTCCACTCTATCTATACCTCTGATCATTTTGTACACCTCTGTCAAATCACCTCTCATCCTTCGTCATTCTAAAGAGAAAAGCCCTAGCTCTCTCAACCTTTCTTCATAAGACCTTCCCTCCATTCCAGGCAACATGCTGGTAAGTCTCCTCTGCGCCTTTTCCAACACTTCCACATCTTTCCTGTAATGACGCCACCAGAACTGGACACAATACTGCAGATGTGGCCGAACCAGGCTTTTGTATAGCTGGAGCATAACTTCACAGCTCTTGAACTCAATCCCCCTATTAATGAAAGCTAACACACCATACGCCTTCTTAACAACTCTATCCACCTGGGTGGCAGCTTTCAGGGAACCGTGGACATGATCCCCAAGATCCCTCTGCTCCGCCACACTGCCAAGAATCTTTCCGTTAACCCTGTATTCTGCTTTCAAGTTTGTCCTTCCAAAATGAATCACGTCACATTTTTCAGGGTTAAGCTCCATCTGCCACTTCTCAGCCCAGCTCATTATTTACTCTACTGAAACACTCCATGATTTCAAACACATCCATAAAATCTCTTTGCATGACGTGTGGTTCCTTGAGCTTGCGATGCGCTTTGTTGGAACATTGCAGTAGGTCAAACACCATTCAGTTCGGAAGAAGACTCATACTGGACTTGAAATTTTAACTCTATTTCTCTGCCTATAGATGCTGCTAGGGCCATTAAGTTTCTCCAGTAATCTCCAAATTTGTTTCAGATTTCTAGCATCCATGGTATTTTGCCTTTATTTGAAGGTTTTAACCAATTTGGAAAGAGGAATGTAGAAGTTTTTTAGATCATGGAAGAGCATCTGAGAAGGAACCACTTCAGAAGGAATCTTGGAGGGTGTCTTGGCTGTTGGCTGGCGAGTGGGTGAGAGACCCATGCTGACTTTACCCGAGATATCTGGTCCAGTTCTGGTCACCCTGTTAAAGGATGGATATTATTAAGCTAGAGAGGATTCTGAAGAGATTTACCATGATGTTGCCAGGTATGGAAGATCTGAGTTTTAAGGAAAGACTGGATTGGCTTGGAATTTTTTTCACTGGAGTGTAGGAGGCTGAGAGGTGACCTTCTAAAGGTTTATAAAATCATGAAGGGTATGGGTACAGTTAATGGGAGGGGGGTGGGATTTCAAGACTGGGGGCTCATTTTTAAGGTGAGAGGAGAGAGATTTAAAACAGACATAGGGAGCAACTTTTTTTTATACAGAGGGTAGTTCACGTGTGGAATGAACTTCCTGAGGAAGTGGTGGATGTGGGCACGGTTACAACATTTAAAAGACATTTGGATAAGCACATGAATAGGAAAGGTTTGAACGGATTTGGGCCAGGAGCAGGCAGGTGAGACCAGTTTAGTTTGGGATAATGCTTGGCATGGAGTGGTTGGACCAAGGGGTCTGCTTCCATGCTGTATGACTGTATATCTCTATAGAGGCAAAATCACCTCAACCTGAAATGTTCACTTGTTTCTTTCTCTCTCTTCATCCATGCTGCTGATCTGTTGAGTATTTCCAGCAATTGATTTTCCCCATTTTAAAAAAATTTTAATCCCTGTTTTAACATGGCTCGTTTTGCAATTTTCAGATCTGATTAGCCAGGCCTTCCAGAGATTCCGACACAAGGACATTGTGAAATTAGCCAAACTGAAAAATGAGCTGAATGTGTTGGAGCTATGGCATGGTGTGACCTACGCTTTTAAGGACCTTGCAATGTCATGTGTGGGACAACTGCTGCAGTACTTTCTGCGAAAGAGACAGAAGCATGTCACTATTCTAGTCGGTAAGTGGAATACAAAGACAGAGATTCTTTGGCCTGAACACCTATTGCACTTCTCGAATTGCTAGATGAATCACTATTGGGCCTCAGTTATAGTGTTATGTCCAGTGCTGATGAGTTAGGAAGGATATGAGAGCCCTGAACAGAGTGCAAAAGAGATTTATTAGACAGGTATTAGTGATGCAAGACGTTAGTCAAAGATTTCAGGCAGAGTAGGTTAAGCATTGGATGGGTAAATAGAAATATTGAAAACGTTAAGATGTTTTGATAAGTATTGATAGGAAAGTAGTGTCTCCAGTGGGAGGTATGTTGCTTTCCAGAGATTTAGATCTTTATGTAGTTAACGTGATAGACTGCTGTGTATGTCAGCAATTTGACACCTCTCCTTAATGCCTTTGGATGCATCTGATCCAGTCCTTCTAACATTCATAGCCTATCCAATGCCTGCCCCTCTTTCAACATGACCTCTGCAATATTAACTTGATTGGAGAACAAAGTCAGTAGTCACAGGACACCAGGTTACAGTCATAGTGTCATAGAGTAATACAGAATGGAAACAGGCCCTTTGGCCCAAACTGGTCCATGCTGACCATGGTGCCCTCTCAGCTAATTCCAATTGCCTGCATTTGGTCCATATCCCTCTAAACCCTTCCCATCCATGTACCTATCTAAATGTTTTTAAATGTTGCTGTTGTACCTGCCTCAACCACTTTCTCTGGCAGCCCATTCCATATACACACCACTCTCTGCAGGAAGAAGTTGCCCCTCAGGTCCTTCTTAAATCTTCCCCTTCTCACCTTAAACCTATGCCCACTAGTTTTCAATTCCCCATCCCTGGCAAAAAGACTATATGCATTCATCCTATCCATGCCCTTCATGATTTTATGCACCTCAATACAGTCACCCCTCATTCTCCTACATTCCAAGGAATAAAGTACTATCCTGACCAACCATTCCCTACGACGTAGGCCTGCTAGTCTTGGCAACATCCTGGTAAATCTTCTCTGCACACTTTCTAGTTTAACTGTGTCTTTCCTATAACCGAGTGACCAAACTGTAGACAATACTACAAGTGTGGCCTCACCAATTACTTATACAACTGTTACATAACGTCCCAACTCCTATACACAATGCCTTGACCGATTTAAGGCCAGCATGCTAAATGCCTTCTTCACTGCTATGTCCACCTGTGATGCCGCTTTCAACGAACTCCGAGGTCCCTCTGTTCCACAATACTCCTCAGGGCCTTACCATTTACTGTATAAGGCCTACCTTGGTTTGACTTTCCAAAGTGCAACATCTCACACTTATCTGTATTGAATTACATTTGCCAATCCTCAGCCCACTTCCCCATCTGATCAAGATCCCACTATAATTTTTGATAACCTTCCTCGCTATCAACGATATCTCCTAATTTTTATCATCTGCAAATTTACTAATCATGTCTTGTACATTCACATCCAGATCATTTATGTAAATAACAAATAGCAAAGGTCCCAGCACCAACCCCTCTGGAACACCACTAGTCACAGGCCTCCAGTCCGAGAAACAACCTTCAACCATCTGTTTCCTACAATCGAGTCAATTTTGAATCCAATTAACTAGCCCTCCCTGGATCCCATGCGAACTAACTTCATGACTAGCCTGTTATGTGGGAACTTGTTAAAGGCCTTACTAACATCCACTGCCCTACCCTCATGTATCCTTTTGGTTACCTCTTTGAAAAACTCTAAAAGATTTGTCAGACATGACTTCCCGCGCACAAATCAATGCTAACAATGTCTAATCAGACCTTGACTATCCAAAGATAGTAGGAACTGCAGATGCTGGAGAATCCGAGACAACAAGGTGCAGGGCTGGATGAACACAGCAGGCCATGCAGCATCAAAAGAGCAGAATTTGACTATCCAAATATTGGTTGATCCTGTCCCTCCGTATCCTCTCCAATAACTTGCCTACCACTGATGTCAGGCTCACTGGCCTATAGATCCCTAACTTGTCTTTGTTACCTTACCTAAGCAATGAAACAACATTAGCCACCTTCCAGTCTTTGGGAACTTCAACCTCTGCCTCTGCAATTTCTTCTCTAGCCTCCCACAACGTCTGAGGATCGATTTGATCAGGCCCAGGGGATTTATCCACCTTAATGCGCTTTTTTTTGCTGCAAACACATCCTCTCTGGTAATGTGTATGTGGTTCGAAACTTCCCCACTTGTTTCCCTTATCTCCTTAGATCCATGATTCTCTCCTCAGTAAACACTGAGGAGAAATATTCATTAAAAATCTCCCCCATCTCCTGTGGCTCCACACATAGACGGCCATGCTGATCTTTAAGGGGACCTATTCTCTCCCTAGCCACCCTTTTACTCTTAATATAGTTATAAAATCTGTTAGGATTATCTTTAACCTTATCTGCCAGGTCTATCTCATACCCTCCTTTTGCTCTTCTGATTTCCCTCTTAAGTGTGCTCCTACACTTTTTATAGTCATCTAGGGATTCACTTGAGCCGATAGCTTAAACCCAATGTATGCCTTCTTCTTTTTCCTGACTACAGCCTCAATATCCCTCGTCAGCCAGGGATCCCTAAACCTGTCAGCTTTTCCCTTCACGCTAACAGGGACATACTGTCCCTGGACTCTTCATATCACACTTTTAAAAGCCTCCTATTTGCCAGTCATTCCTTTTCGTTCAGACTCACCCAGTCGACTGTTGCTAGATCTTGCCTAATGGCCCTGTTGCAGTTTAGCACCTTAACCTGTGGACCTGTCCTATCTTTTTCCGTAACTATGTTAAAACTAAGAGAGTTATGGTCATTGGACCCAAAGTACTATCCCACTGACACTTCAGTCACTTGCCCGCCTCGTTTCCTAAGAGAAGGTCCAGTGTTGCACCCTCCCAAGTAGGGCCCTCTACATACTGATTTAAGAAACTTTCTGGGACACATTTGACAAATTCCACCACATTCAGGTCTTTTACACTCTGGGTGGCCAGTCAATACAGGGGAAATTAAAATCTCCAACCAACACAACTCTATTATTCCTACAGGTATCTGCAATCTCTCTACACATCTACTCCTCTAGTACCTACTGGCTGTTTGGGGATCTATAATACAATCCCAACGAGTGACCATCCCCTTCTTGTTTTGAAGTTCTAACCATATGGCCTCATTTGATGACCCCTTAAGAATATCCTCTCTAAGCACTGTTGTTATGTCCTTCCTTATCAAAAGGGCAACTCCCCTTCCTCACTTACTTGTATTTTTGTCACGCCTGTGGCTTCTATATCCTGGAACATTGAGCTCTCTGACCTGCCCTCCTCTCAGCCATGTTTCTGTTATGGCTATGATATCCCAGTTCCCAGAGCCAATCCATGCTCTGAGCTCATCTGCCTTATCAGTCAGGCCTTGTGCATTGAAATAAATGCACTTCAAACCAGAAGTCTCTCCCTTTACTGTGCCCCTGGCGATTCTGAATCGTAAACTTGCTCTCAAAGGCCCCTCTCTTATTCAGAGTCCCATCCCCCTGCCAAACTAGTTTAAAACCTCCTGGGTAACACTAGCAAGTCTCCCAGCAAGGATAACAGGGTAGGTAATGGCCTAGTGGTATTATTGCGAGACTATTAATCCAGAAACACAGTAAATGTTCTGGGGACCTGGGTTTGAATCCCACCACAGCAGATTCAATAATTTTTTAAAAAGTCTGGGATTAAGAATCTACAGATCACCATGAAATCATTGGTTGTCAGAAAAACCCATCTGGTTCAGTAACGTCCTTCAGGGGAGGAAATCTGCCACACTCGCCTGGTCTGGCCTACAATGTGACTCCAGATCCACAGCAATGTGGTTGACTCTCAACTGCCCTCTGAAATGGCCTAGCAAGCCACTCAGTTGTACCAACTGCAAAGTTGTACAAAATCACAAAGAAATGAAAGCAGACGGATCACCTGGCATCGACCTAGGCACCGGAAAAGACAACTGCAGAAACAGCCCTGTCAACCGTGCAAAGTCCTCCTCACTAACATCGGGGGGTTGGTGCCAAAATTGTGAGAGCTGTCTCACAGACTAGTTAAGCAATAGCCTGACATAGTTATGCTGGCAGAATTTTTGTTTATTCATTCATTCACGGGATGAGGGCATCGCTGGTTAGACAGCATTTATTGCCCATCCCTAATTGCCCAGAGGGCAGTTAAGAGTCAACCACATTGCTGTGGGTCTGGAGTCACATGTAGACCAGACCAGGTAAGGATGGCAGTTTCCTTCCCTAAAGGACATAAGTGAACCAGATGGGTCTTTTTCCTGACAATCGACAATGGATTCACAGTCATCATTAGATGATTAATTCAAAGTATTTATTGAATTCAAATTCCACCATCTGCTGTGACGAGATTCGAACCTGGCTCCCCAGAATCATACCTTACAGACAATGTCCCAGACACCACCATCACCATCCCTGGATATGTCATAAGTTCATAAGAGATAGAAGCAGGAGTAGGCCATTCAGCCCATTGAGCTTGCTCCTCCATTCAATAAGATCATGGCTGGTCTATCAGTGGTCTCGGCTCCTCCCACCTGCATTATCCCCACAACCCTTAATCTGCCTACCATGCAAAAATCTATCCAACTGCGTCTTAAATATATTCAATGAAGCTGCTTCTACTGCTTCCTTGGGCAGAGAATCCCATCGATTCACCAGTCTCTGGGAAAAGCAGTTCCTCCTGATCTCTGTCCTAAATCTACTTCCCCCTAATCACTGGCAGGACAGACCCAGGAGAGGTGGTGGCGTAGTGGTATACAGTCGGGAGGGAGTTGCTCTAGGAGTCCTCAGCATTGACTCTGGATCCCATGAAGTCTCATGGCTTCAGGTTAAACATGGGCAAGGAAACCTCCTGCTGGTTACCACATATTGTCCTCCCTCAGATGATGAATCGGTACTCCTCAATGTTGAGCAACACTTAGAGGAAGCACTGAGGTTGGCAACGGCACAAAATGTACTCTGGGTGGGGG